TGGAGAGGTTATTGAATGATCTAAATTGCGGTGATTGAAGCGCAAAACAATGAATCGGTAGTTATGTATATGAGAATATTGTATGCCGATTATTTCTTTGAACGTATTTAATTTGTAGAGTGTGCGAACATTATCTGACGAATATTTCTATGGGTAGAATGAATTCTAAACAGTCTAACCGTGTCGGTAGTGACGTAAAACATAAGCGATCAATCACAATATTATTTATGCACCCTGCACTATCACTCTCCTCCTTCCTGTCGAACATCTATCGTCCTTATCTCTGCTCTATATTCTTTGTGTTTGTTACTCTCTTGTAACACATCTAATCTTCCACACTTACGTGACCGTACTGTGTTGCAAGTGCCGTTAAACCTTTACTAAAACTAAAACTAAATTAAAGCCGAAATTAAACATTCCAACGTTGTGTCCTTGGGAAAGGCTGTTTACACGATTTCCTCCCTTGACTTGGTCCTTTCGGAGACGGACGTTGAACAAGGAGGTCCCACCTCTTAAATAACGTAATACTAGTAATATATAGGCACTCATATAACCCTCTTCAGTTGCAAGCGCCGTAAAAACTCTACTAAAAAAGAAAGAAAAAAATACTAGTAATAGTGTTGATAGGGGCGTTAAACCTATACCTTTTCGCCATTTCACCATTCCACCATTCCACTATTTCACCCTTTCACCATTTCACCATTCCACCATTTCACTATTTCACTATTTCACCATTTCACCATTTCATCATTTCACCATTTCACCATTTCACCATTCCACCATTTCACCATTTCACCATTTCACCATTCCACCGTTCCAGGGATCATGACGACGAGTCCTCGGTGGTGGAAGCGGCTAAGAAACTGAACGAGGTGTCTGGCCTCAAAGGTCTAGGCCGGTTCTTCAAGCAGGTGGCGCAGTCGGCCCGCTCTAAGGACAACAGCGTGGACGATTTCCTGGGCAGTGTCAACATCCCGCTAGATGTGAGTGGTAGCAAGGGGGACTTAGGAATGAGAGCATGCAAAAAAGGACCTGTTATTACGGTAGATAATTATATAATTTTAGATGAACCTTTGGGGGGGGGGTGTCTAATTTGACGAAAAACATGGTCAAACTCGGACACGGACAATACCATTCCTTGCGCGCTCTTATGACCTTATGTCGTTACGGGCGCTTTTATACTTTGGAAACATCCGGCTTTGGCCCTAACGATTAGTATTACGTCTCTACCATCCTACAACCCTACCCCTAACCCTACCCCATACCCTGACCCTGACCCTACCCCGAACCCCAACCCTACCCCTAACCCTACCCTGTACCCTAACACTACCCCTAACCCTACCCTGTACCCTACCCCTAACCTTACCCCGAACCCTACCCCGAACCCTAACCCTACCCCGAACCCTAACCCTACCCCGTACCCTAACCCTACCCCGTACCCTAACCCTACCCCGTACCCTACCCTTAACTTACCCCTACCCTTAACCCTAACCCTAACCCCAACCCTAACCCAACCTCACATAAAGTTACTATGTCATGTATTGATGTTTCATTACTCTTGAGGCCAAAATAGGAGATTGCCAAAACCTTTCACCAACCTGAAACTATGATCCCTGTTTTTTTCTACTGACCTGAAACTATGATCCCTGTTTCTAATACTGACCTGAAACAATGATCCCTGTTTTTAATACTGACCTGTCTTATGCTGATCTGAAACTATGATCCCTGTTTCTTTTACTGACCTGAAACGATGATCCCTATGTCCAGGACCTGCCGTCCATGGGTTCCAGCCAGTGGTATCACCTAGAGGGTCGGTCGGCGCGGTCCAACATCCAGGGAGAGATTCACCTCAAGCTCAGTCTGGCCACGAGGGAAGACCGGGGAATCCCGGAGGATGACAACTGGACTGACGTGAAGCAACACGAGGATCTCATGTGTATCTTTGTGGAGTATGAGCTCAGGAAATACAACGTGAGTCATGTGTGTGTGTGCGTGTGTGTGTGTGCAAGGATCTCATGTGCATCATTGTGGAGTATGAGCTCAGGAA